TATTTCGGATCATGTGTCTAACAACTAGCCTAATAACTAATGCTCATGACCTGTATTTACGACAATAGACGCTAGCATCAAACAGAATTTCGCACTGAACGCAACACAGCGTCCCACAACATCTCTCTTTCCATTTTTTTCATCTTTTCTTTTTGCTTCTCTTTGATTATGAAAGTCCTGCACGAATTATTTCTCTTTGTCTTGGTTGAAGACGACCAATACCTAAACCTACTACTGTGAGATTGAATTAGTTTTTATTTCAATTCATAATTTTTTAACATTAATTGTTTCGTGTGCTTAATTTCATGATCGTTATGTTTAATTGATAGATTGATCATATGTTATTTCATGTGTGTGATCTAATACTTGAATTGGATTTAGAGCATACGCTTTTTGCTAGAAACATTTAAGGTTGATAATTGACTAAATTTAGGCGTTATCATTCTTAGAAAAAACAATTGAACGCGTTAATATTTAACGAATTAGTTATTTGTTTCTTGGACTGTCGATCTTTGGTCTTTAATGCTATCGCCAGGATAAGTCTTGACGATGTTGGGAATAAATTAATGATAAGAGTCTCGTAGAAGGATATCCTTTTCGTGATAAAATTAGAAGATATAACTTCTATTCAATGACAGTTACGTGGATTGTGAGTTGATATTTACTGCATCAATGATAAGTAAATATTATGAGGTGGAAATCAATTCAACTAAGACATTCATATTATATTTTCGTCTCTTGAATTTATTTTTTTTTTTTGTAATTTTGATAGACAGCTTTTTAGTTTAATTAAACCGTTAATCCTAAATTGCCCCATTTAATCATATAGTTTATACTACCTCTTTAAAGTTAGCAGTTTGCATTACAAAATTAGGTAAAAGATACGGAAATGCTCCCCTACCCACGGTAAGCACATGTTAATATGTCCACCGCTTATGTGGCATGCACACATTGGTAATGTATTTTTTTTAATATACTAACATCACCAATGTGTGCATGCCACATAAGCAGTGAGCATATTAACATGTGTCCACCGTGGGTAAGAGAGCATTTCCTGTCAAAGATATATGGATGAAATAAACGAGTGAGGACGTTGAACAAATGTATGACTCATTTGTTTTTGTTTTTATTTTTTCTCATCAACTTTTGTACGTATGACATCTTCTTGCAAAATTGTCTTTTATATAACAATAAATAATGCTTTGCAATTTTGAATACAGCTTTTCCAAATTAAAACGAAAATTAAGTAGACTACGAAAATTAACTAGATTTGGTGGAGTGCACCAGGCCCGAGCAGCAGTGCAACACTTGGGCCTTCCCCATAACTAAAAAATAAGTAACATCTATTGGGCCATTGGCTCACATACCAGATATTAAACTGATAAAAACAGATACTATACTTGATCTTAGCCAAAAGGCCGAGAAAGGTATTTCTGGTAAGGTGTTAGGGCGGCATTTTTTGTATGTCAATCGCTCTGGGCTTTGAGCTTCCGTGCTCGATGTGGGACAAAAGTAAAGGACATCGGATCACGGGAAAAGATTTTAATTAATGTTAGCAATCGTTTAGTTATAGTTGTAGTAATTACTACACGTGTAATACTTCATATCATAAATTGAAAAAGAAAAGAAATAAACAAATTGAAAGGGCCTACACCTTCTTTGAATGGCTGGTGAGATTTCCCTCTCCTCATTCGTTGTTAAGATAATAATAACAATAATAATAATAATAATAATAATAATAAACAAAAACAAAAGTGGTGTGTTCAATGGAGATTTTTATTTTTATTGATAATAAATCGACCAAATATAGAATGAACTTAGTATGTTATCAAAGTGTTGTCAATAATCATTTACTTAATTAACAAATATTTTAATTTATAAAATATGGTATGATATAAACATAATTATTCTAATCTTTCCCTTGTGATTATGGTGCATCAGAGTGATTCTCATAATTAGTAAGATCAGTATGTATAAACTTGGAATCACGACAGTAGTAATAAGAATGATAATATAATAAATAAAATTATTTTTTATTATTGTAATGAATAAATTTTTTTAATTGCATNTTTACAATCAGATACAATCGGCAACAGCCGGAAAGAGCAGCTACACAGCTGAAATCTTTGGGAGGACAACCCGAACGACAGTCTAGACGAATACGCACGACACACTCCCCAACTTGGTCTTCTCCAGCGACAAGATGGTAGTGGCGGTGGACGAGATGGTCAGGATAGAGGTCGATTGGTTTCCGACGTCGATGTGGTCTTGCAGCAACATGGCGTGGAAAGCCTCTTGGCAGCCATGGTGGACCAGACATTATGTGTGAGGAGAAGAAGAGAGGAAGAAGAAGCATTTAACCTCAAATGACTCTTTTGCCATCACTTCAGTTGCTTTTGGGTTGGACTTGTATTCGGCCTTTCTATTCCTTTTAAAGGCTTATGCATTCGACCCAATAGCCAACAAATAGGCTGCTTTCCTTCTCCAAAGGGTTATAAGGTTTGTCCTAATCGCTGATCACACACCATGTTTGATTGTTTTCGCCGTTTTAACCTCTGATAATTATTTCGATCCAGTATCTTAACTAAACTAAAAATAATACACCTCCATCATAGCTTAATAAAATTAATTAAACTGAATAAAAAAATATACCAACTTGCGACAAAACAGACACGGTAATCAACTCCAAAATGCACGTAAAAATAACGTATGCCAAAGCCTTTTCCAAACAACTCATCATACTTAAAGCAAATTATGTTGATTTACAAGGCGTGCATGTGTTGTTGATAAGAATGCATCGTCTAGTTTCTATCAATGTGTGCTCAACTATCAAAGTTTATTTTTTATCTATTTATATATTTTTGTTATGAAAAAATTATTATGTCGTTGTAATTGCAATTAAAATATTTATCACAATGAGATCCATATTCACATACTAGTGGGATTCCGGCTGTGCACGCACAGCCGGCCCAAATTCAAGCAATATTTTCTAGTTTCTTTTTTGNTCTGGGCCAAAAAAAGTTGCATGTTAAAATGTGTTGTGATCTCAAGGAGATTTATGTTTAATTCCATAGGGATTTTATAATTTGTATGCTCAGCTTGATAATTTTATATTTTCTAAAAAGGCGAATTATGTTGGCTTGTTGTTGAAGATATTATAAGGTTTAATTGAGGAAGGTGCAGAAATGAGGGAGATGATGATAACAGAATTTAGATTATATTTTCTTAATTATGTTGGCTTCTTGTTGAATATATTAGAAGGTTTAATGGAGGGAAGTGCAGAAATGAGGGAAATGATAACAGAATTTAGAGAGAGATAAAATGTTGCATAATTAATTCTGCCAATATTCACGTCGCACACACCATTTAAGAATCTTTTGGGACCACTTCCCAGCTTACATCATAAAGCAAATTAAAGATAAAACAAAAAGGTAATAAATAGTAAAGGAGCTGGGCTTAGCATCATTTTACCCCAAGACCCCTATCTTCACTATCTTGCGGCTACTGGGCCTTTGTATCAATGAGCCCATCTTGAGGAACACCAACAGTCATCCATTCTCACCTCCCGGCCCACTTAGCTTATCCATTTGTTCTCCAAACTTGATCGCCATTTTCCCCTTTTCCAGCGTTCGACAAGTTTAGGTACACCTAACTCGTGAGATTATGAAGCAATTTCTGGAGTTGTGCACCTCCGAAACTGTTGTAAACCAAATTCAATTGCCTTCTGTACGAACCTCGAAGAGCGCTGGCAAGTTCTAAAGCCTGGCAAATATCATCTCGTCTTCGTTGTTAAACCATATGGGCGCCGGACACTGGGGGAGTGAAATCGGACCCTCTTGGAACGCTGCTCACCGGTGCCGAGCCACCGTTACTCCGGCCACAGTTCTATCCTCCGCGAGAATTTGTCTGTAAAATTATGAGTGCTTTGTGTGAGAAAATATCATGTGGGCTGAAGAAAGTGCATCAATAAGTTTATTTTGATCGTATTATTAAATTAAACTGCCAAATAAAGCTACAAAAATCGCTCTCACCCCATCAAACTCACAATTCTAGAATTTCATACACCATTCTGAATATGAACTAAGCAAACACAAATCCAGGAAAGATCAAGATTTCACAGAAACAAGTATTAAACCACCCTTTAGAATGGGTAAAAAACTAAAATCACATTTACATGCTCAAATATAAAAAAAATAAAATAAAATACAAAAAAGAGCATCTTGTCCAATTCATTCGATCAACCAACACATCAGATCACACATAAAACCAATGATGCACATAAGAAGAAGCATAAAAGCAGCATTTCATGTATTCCAACAGACTTCCGAAATAAGAAAAAGCAATCATACCTAGGACAAAGATTATTTGTAGTTTTCAGAACAACCAGCAGATCTCAGATCTAAGGACAGGCATTTGATACAAACACCAATATTAGCACTTGTATTTTCACAGCCAAATTTTATTTGGATCCAAATTTGAATCTAAATTAATTTGACAACGGATTACTTACTGTTTGAAGAAGAAGATATGGTTTTGCAAAGTAAATGAATATTTGAGCTGCTTTACAGTACTAATAGCATAGCAACACACACACACATAGAATTATTGAGTGCTGATTGTAGAAGTAACTACTTACAATACTTCACCTTGACATAAAGCTAAACACAACGTCTAAACTCTGGATCATCAGCAATGCAACACCAGTTGGGAGTTTTAGCAAGCCCTCAGATTCTCCTTTAAGCAATTCTCTGGTTAAAAGGAATGTAAACCAAAGACGCATACAAGCAAACAAAAAATATAGAACAAGAGTATAGGGAGCTCAAACAAATTACTTGAAGCATGCCCTTTCCTGAAACAATATCAAAGCCATATCTTTCGGGATCTCTCAGGATGTGCTCTAATCTTCTCTTTCCTAACATTGCTATTTTATTTGTTGCAACTTGAGTAGGGAAAACAAAGTTGAGTAGGTAGTATATCAAATTAAAATTTTGAAATGATAATTACCAGGTTGTGGCCACTGCCACCAAGCGTTTTCTAATGCTCCTCTTCCGCGTAGTGGGGTCGAGCTCAATTACATCGATCCTGCAGACAATCCCATACGATAGAACAATTGTCGAAGATGTGGCACACCTAACATTAAAATTTCAAGAGTGCAATAGAAAATCATCAAATCAGTTTTGGAGACTTGTACACTCACAAGTAAACCAGACTGAAAATTAGTATCCAAATTCAAGTAGAGGCGCTATATACCCTTAGGGAAGACTAATGCTGAAGAACTTAAACAATTTCTTAAGAAGAAAGTGGGTATCTATATGTATATCTCACAACGTTAAAAAAGAATTTCAATTAAAAACCATGGCAAAAAAAAGTATACTGATTTATGAGACAACTAAAACTCCCATAATATTTAATCAAACCTTTAGTAGCATTTGGAAGCCGCACTTCCCTTGGAGTATTCTTTGAATCATGAAAAAACATGAGGTGGCTACCACTAAGATTGTTGTGGATGCCGCTAAAATACAAGTCAATGGACGGAATGTAACTGAAACCAGTTTCAAATGGCCAATGGGAAGACACAACTCAGCCTTAATCAAAAGGGAAGATTCATTATATTTCTATAAAATTCACTAATTGTACCTTTCTATCAATTGTCGGGCCTCCAGTGATTTCAACTGGCAACAACGCCTGCAAGCTGTATTCAAATTAATTTGATCAGAAGCAATTGCTATTAACTTATCCACCCATTGACTTGTTACCATGAGATGTTGAAAAGGCCAAATGCATAATAGACGGTATGTTACCTTGAAGAATACTAAAGATGTTATTGGACAATTTTATCCATAATAGATGCAATTGAATGTCACTAACTTCAACATTAGGTTCACCAACAATGTTTAAGAGACTGAGAGACTAATGAAGGCTTTTTAGGATATTTATAATCCAGCTTTCTTCACAAAGACACACACTCGCGCACACACAGTAGAAAAAAGCAAAGCAAATACCAAGGAAAAACATTACACAACAGCTGAAGAATTACCTCATTAGGACGGCGATTCCCTTAAACCAGGGAAATGTGGAGCAGTGGAGGGCACATCTTGGCAGCTGGGGACTTCGGTGTTTTAGGAGCGGGTGCTTTTGGAGCAAACTTGACCTGAACAACATCGATATATGAAATAGTTAAACAAAATGATTTGTAAAAATCACGTTGAGCGGCTGAAATTGTAAGCAGATGTGGAAAGACATTTCGTGGAGCGGACGACGACGGATCTTGATCCATGAGACGGGCGAATAACTTTCAATTCACCAAGGCCTGCGCTGTAGAAAACACAAATCGTGAATGATCGTAAAATTCGAATAAATCTTTTGAAATTTTCTTCAGAGAAAAGGATCTTTCTCTCAAATCGAAGGGAGAGCAAGAAGAATATGAATGCCCGCGGCCGTCGTTATCCCGGCTGAGGCGACGTTTCTTCCTTTTCCACCACAACGACCGTCGGCTTCCCAAACAACGAAACATCAGGCACCACCAGTTGAAGAGTGGGCCACACGTTTTGTTAGATTGTGTGGTCGGTGGATGGACCTTGAGGCCGCATGTGTTTGTCGGAGCGGCAGAGGAGGCATATCGGGTTGCAGGAAAAGGTAAACAAAGTTGTGGCCGATATAGGTTTTGATGTGATATGAATGATGGTGAAAGACGGGAAAAAATGAGTGTTGCGTGTTTGAGTAATCTAGCTACAGCAATTCTTAACAGATAAGATACATGAAACGGCGTCGTTTCGCCCTGACTAAGGGAAAAAAGAAAAGGAAAAAATGAGGGGAAAAAAAGGAAAGCAGCAAGTGAAAAAATAACAAGCCACGTGGAAGGCATTTAGTTGAGCTTCAGAAGTGAAAAAACCACCACGTGTCATGCATATGAGGTCTCTCATTTTTTCTTATAAGTATAAGAGAGATATTGTTGTTAGGTGGTAATAAGACATAGAGCATGTTTGTTTATGAAATTTTTTTGTTTTGTTTGAATTTTTTGGTTTGGTTTGGTTAATTTTGAAAAAAGTTGTATGATTAGTTGTTAGTGGGAATATTAAAATAATATTTAAAATCACTACTAGAAAATGGTGCATCAGTAACCAAAATTTGTAACTAAATTTTAGTTGTTACAATAGTAACAATGATTTAGATACAGAATATACTTTCAGAAACGAAATGTACTTTAAACCATTGTATTTGTATTAGTAACTAATTCTGTGACTAACTCCCTTTGTTACAAATACATATAAATGGTTTCAATTTAAAGATTTAATATTGTAGCATATTCTACATATATAACTATGTTCGTTTAATAATTGAACAAACCCCAGCTTGTTCGCAAACGTTCACTAAACATTAATTCTATACAATTTTTATTTATGTTTATATACATAATATTTTTTTATAAAAACTCTAAAATATGATTTTTTTTTTAATTTTTATATTCGAGCTTGAATGAGTTCGAACGAACATCTTGTGCTAATCAAATAATTGTAAAATATTTCATTGCCTGGTACGGGTCTTAAATCCTAACTAATTTGTAATGCCCTATCTGTTGTACTGTAGTATGTAGCTGTGGTGTTAGCGACCCTTGATATGATATCCACTGAGGATTATATTTTTTTTCTTTTATTTTTATTTTTGAATTAATTAATTAATTAATACTACTAATTACGTGGTATTGGTAACCATTCCATTCCATGCAGCCCCAGGCTTATTAAGTTAAAGCAACAATCTTTTAGTACCCAGCTTAAATTACATCACCATTATTATCACAAGAACAATTGTTACTTTTAATACAATCGAGATCCGCACATACAATATGTAGACATATCTACTTATAAATAAATCTAACCTATTAGATAATTGATACTGCCATAAGTAGCACTTCATGAAAATGTCTTGAAATAATGTTTCTTGATTACACATTTTCTTAAATTATATTTTTGCTTCAAGAAAATGTCGGACTGGTTAGTCATTTTTGGCTTTTAGTTTGGTACATATATTTTTTATTTGAATTATTTAGTTTTTCTACATCTTTTAGTTAAAGATTTAATTTATTTGCAATTTTTATCTATGGAATATTTATTTTTTCTAGATCTTTTAATTAATAATCATTTACAATTTTTCTATATGGAATATTTAATTTTCCTAAATCTTTTAGTTAATGATTTAGTTTCTTCTACAACTTTTCTCTATGGACTAAGATATATTTTAATCCTATGTGTCGACCATCTATATGATACTCATTTTCTTATAGCATATTTTGTTTTGGTTTGTATTTCCTTATACAATTTACAGTTTATTAATAATATTAAAATAAAATATTGTAAGTATGATAACTAATTAAATTGAAATATGGTAGGCTAACTTTTATAATTTATTTTTAAAAAAAAAGTTATAAACGTAAAGTTAATAAATAATTATTGAGTTGCACAATATGTTAGGTTAATAAATAGGAAGTAGTATATAATTAATAAATATTGAGTAGTAATTAATAAATAGATTAAGTTAATAATAAATAGGGAGGTGTAGTTAATTAATAAATATTGAGTTAGGATTAATAAATAGGTTAACCCACGCGTTCAAGTATAATAACTACCACATCCTATATTAAATTAACTGACCACGTTACTAACCACGTCTAAAACACTCTTCTCTAACTACAGAACTCCAAACTCTTCTACAAACTCCAAATCATCTTACCTCTGAACGCAACTACTACTGAATCATCTTATTACCTCCTGAACGCAATTACATTTTGAGTATTACTCATACATTTATTTGGCAGACATACTTCTATGGGAGCAATTACATTTTCAGTATTACTCATACATTTATTTAGCAGACATACTTCTATGGGAGTGAAATACTTCTATGGGAGTGAAACGTCAAACAATAGGATGGGATTTGAATTATCCGCCAGAGTCTGTAAGTGCAAATTTTATTTTATTTTTTCTTCTTTTCACCAATATATGATACGACGAATAATTTGATTCTTATCTACACACACAAGAATGTAACACTGCAAATTTTATTTTATTTTTTCTTCTTTTCACCAATATATGATACGACGAATAATTTGATTCTTATCTACAGACACAAGAATGTAACACTAAAGAGAAGGCATCGATATTGCAGCTGGACTTGAATAAGCTACCAACATATGAAGGGTTCATATCAGCGACTCAAAAAACATTACGGTATCTTGACTTGAACAAGCTGCCAATGTATGACGGGTTCATTTCTGCGGCACAAGAACGAGAGAAGGCTCAGCGAGTTCTATTGGGGCATAATCATGAAATGTTAAAAATATTACTTCCAAGTTTATTTGAGGATAAAATGATTAGTAGTTTGTATTAATTGTACTTTGATGTTTTATCAATTGAATTTTTTATTATTGTATTGACGAAATAAAATAATTGTATTTTATTTTATTTTTCTTTAATCTTACTTGCTTATTTTTAGTGGTATTAATGAATTCATTTGATGCAAAACAATTTTACTGAATGCAACAATAAAAAATAGAAGATGCCATTATATTGTAATTGTCACTAATATTAAGATGTTAAGAACAAAACAATCCGTTTTTAATTTGGTTTCTATTGCTGATTAGTTAGGAACAAATAATCTAGTTTCTAATTTAGTTTCTATTACTGAATAATTAGGAACAAATAATCTCGTTTCTAATTTGGTTTCTATTAATGAATAATTAGGAACAAATATTCCCGTTTATAATTTAGTTTCTAATAATGAACAATTAGGAACAAATAGTCTCGTTTCTAATTTGGTTTCTATTACTCATTAATTAGTAACAAATAGTCTCGTTTCTGATTTGGTTGCTGATGGGTCTACTTCCAGATCTGGAGTAAACCGGTTGTTGTGAGCTCCGATCTGTTTGAACCGCCTTCAAATTGTTGCTAGACCGCCGCAAACACCTGCAAGAACCCAACGCCGGGAGAGGTCCCGGCGTCGGGCCTCCGACGCTCAAGTCAGTAAACAGAGGAGAGGAAGATGAAGCTCTATGATGTAGAGCTGTGATGCATGTAGAAATGCATAGAATGTGGGGGAGAGAGCTGCTCTCAGAGAGCAGCAGCAGCAGAGAGATGAAAGTGTATAGAATGAGTAGAGGTTAGGGTTTAGGGTTACCTCAGCCCCTTTATATAGAGGGAACTACTTGCTTGAAGTACCCAAAATGCCCCGGTCGGTTTACCTGAAGTGTCCAAAATGCCCTGGTAGGTTTGCATTCCATCTACCTCCTAGTCAGCTCAAGATTCCTTCTCATCCAATTACTGCCTCTCTCTTGTAGTCACAGAGAAGTCTAGTAGCGGAGACCTCTAGTCACGGAGACGTCTAGTAGCGAAGACGTCTAGTAGAGAAGACGTCTAGTAGCAGAGAGGTCTAGTAGCGGAGACCTCTAGTCACGAAGACGTCTAGTGGAGAAGACGTCTAGTAGCGGAGAGGTCTAGTAGCGGAGACCTCTAGTCACAAAGACGTCTAGTAGCAAAGACGTCTAGTAGAGAAGACGTCTAGTAGCAGAGAGGTCTAGTAGCGGAGACCTCTAGTCACGAAGACGTCTAGTGGAGAAGACGTCTAGTAGCGGAGACCTCTAGTCACGAAGACGTCTAGTAGCAGAGAGGTCTAGTAGCAGAGACCTCTAGTCACGAAGACGTCTAGTGGAGAAGACGTCTAGTAGCGGAGAGGTCTAGTAGCGGAGACCTCTAGTCACGAAGACGTCTAGTGGAGAAGACGTCTAGTAGCGGAGAGGGCTAGTAGCAGAGACCTCTAGTCACGGAGACGTCTAGTAGAGAAGACGTCTACTAGCGGAGAGGTCTAGTAGCAGAGACCTCTAGTCACGGAGACGCCTAGTAGCGAAGACGTCTAGTAGCGGAGATGAGCTCTAGCTCCTCTTGTCCAGTCGAGACGAGATGATCTCTAGCAGGTCGAGACGATATGACCTCTCGCAAGTCTAGCAGGTCGAGACGAGTACCAAGTCGAGACGAGTCTAGCAAGTCGAGATGACCTCTGGAAAGTCTAGCAGGTCGAGATGAGTCTAGCAAGTCGAGATGAGTAGCAAGTCGAGATGACCTCTAGAAGGTCTAGCAGGTCGAGATGACCTCTGGCAAGCCTAGCAGGTCTAGCAGGTAGAGATGCTTCTAGCAAGTCTACTTCTAGAGCATGTCTACTTCCCATACTTAGTCGTGGAACTTCGCATACTCAATTACAAAGAACATGTCTACTTCCCACACTTAGTCGTGTGGAGCTTCTCATACTCAGTCACCGAGAGCATGTCTACTTTCCATACTTAGTCGTGTGGAGCTTCTCATGTTGCTCTTCCTCGGTTTCGCTCGGACTTCTTCATACTCGACTTCTTCATACTCGACTCTAGTCCCCCCCAAAACTTACTCTACTGCGACTCGAGCTGTAGAGTAAGGCCAATAGTCTGGGAATCTAGCATTTATCAGAGTTTGCAATATTTGAATGGACGTCTTCGTCCTCTCGTAATCTTGTGTATTTTTTTTATTCAGATTTTTCTGATTTGAGGGCTCGAAATTGCTAGGCTTTAGCATGTATTTTGTTTCCACATGTGGGATTAGTCAAAATTGTTAGTTTCCATGGACCCACTCATTAGGCCCAACTCAAATGCTCAACCACTTTTATGTCGGGTTCTTTGAGAATCGTCTTCTCGTCTTGCTATTTCCTTCTCGACTTCACGATTAGCTTTCCAATTTTCTCGAGAATCTTCTCCAACGTCGCGATTTTCTTCCTCGCAATTTTTCTTCCCAGTTCATAACTTCTGATGTATATCTCATTCGCGATTTGCTCCCAGCTCGTGATTCTCGCGTATTCAATTCACAAATTTCTCACTTGCGATTTCATTCATCGATTTCTTCTCGACTCGCGATTGCGATTTCATCCTCAAATTGCTTCTTAATTCGCGGTGTATGGGTCACGATTTCATTCACGAATTTCTTCCCAATTCGCGATTCTCATGTTTTCAGTCGTGATTTTCTTCCAGCTCGCCCATCTCGCTATTTCCCTCTAATCCTCGTCGCGTTGGTCGAGATTTGTTGCTGTTCGCGATTCTCCCCCAATCTGGGATGGGTTAGTCGCGATTTGCTACTGCATCATTTTCCCCAAATCGCCATGTTCTGCTCGCGATTCTCTTCTCGTCTTCGCGATTCTTCCCGGTTATTACGAATCTCATCCCCTTTCGTGATTTATTTCACACGCGTTCTATCAAATCTATGATGCACTTACGCACTCAAATCTTATACAAATTAGGCCTGTTAGTCGATCCAGGTAAATCGATTCTTCACTCGCAATTTCTCAAATTCTCGCTCTTATGCTTTCAATCACGAGTTCCTCCCAGCTCGTCGTTGTTTATTTTTCCCTAATTCACGTCGGGCAAGTCGGGATTTGCTATTGCTCGTCATTTTCGCCCAATTCTCGATTTCTCATCAATATTGCGATTTGTATTTTGTGATTTGTGATCTGCGATTTGCAATTTCGGGCAGGTGACTCGCGGTTGTAAATCCTTAGTAATTTTCCTGTGTAACTCACGATTTTCTAGTCGCGATTTTTCACTAACTCGTTATTTTTCTTCCATTTGCAGCGTGCGAGCTGTTCTTTCTCTGTTTCGTGAGTGATGTGCTCGTCATTTTCCCAAGTCGAGATTTACTGCTCGACCAGCTACTGCTCGTCATTTCCGCAAAGTCGAGATATACTGCTCGTGGTCCGCGAGTCGCGATTTGTACTGCTCGTCATTTTTAGTCGACTCGCGATATGCAACTAGCGGTATCATTACTCGTCTCCTGCCTCATTCACACGAATCGATGCTCCCGTGCTTGGCAATGTGAGTATTTTCTGGTACTTTACGCTAAATTTATCCTCTGATTTCCTTTGTTTTGCTATAGGCGGATCTGCTTTTCGAGATACGTTAGTCGAGGCTCCTATTTTGCGAGATAGAAAGTCGATATTCAGCGTATTTCGAGATTCCAGGTTAGTAGCTTTTTCGGTTTTTACGCGTTCTTCTCTTCTGATCATACTTTTTCTTGATTTTGTTGCTGGTTGCGATGTGTTAATCGTGATTGTGTGTTGCTCGCTTGTTTTCTGATATTCCTCCATATGCTTAGTCACTATTTTCCTTGCTACTGTTTGTTTTCCTTTGTATTTTGTGCGATGTCGATCTCTTCCTTGTGTTTGTATTTTTGTGATATATCGATCTATTCCGATTTGGTTAGGTTGTCCCTCAGTTGTCCCTTAGTTTGCTGCGTATGGCACTGCTTCATTGAGGTGTTTCCTGGCTGCTCGCACTATTGTTTTCATATCTGCTTGCGATATGTTACTCGTGGTAAGCTGATCTGCTCCCTTCAATTATGTGTTTAAGTCTCAATTGTCTGTGATTGATTCATGTTCTTGAATTGTTGTATCTACTCTTGTTTGGTTCATTTGCTGGCGATTAGGTCGATTGCTACTCTGTGTGTTGCTCGCGGCTCAAATTACCGTAGCCTGCTCAAGGCATTTGTAGCAGCTTGCAGCTCAGATTTTACCCGAGCCTGCTCAAGACTATCATAGCCTGCTCAAGGCTTTTGTAACAGTTTGTAGTTCAAATTTTATCATAGCCGACTGAGGCTTTTGTAACGGCTCGCAGTTATAGCTCGCACCTTATCTCATTCTCTGTATTTCTAATTCGTGGCCGAGTCCCAATTTTTAATCCAAAGGTATCTCGCAATTAAATCCAAGTAATCCAAGCTTAAAGGTATCTCACAATTAATTCATAAGAATGATGTATACCAGCCCATTCTCAATTTCACATCCAGAATGTAATTCGCGATTAATTCAGAAGTGACACATCCAGAATGTACTTCGCAATTAATTCAGAAGTGATATTGAACGTCATCATTGTCATGCTATTCAACAACTTTCAATTCGCAATTTAGCATAGGAACTCGGTTTTAGTAGCTTTTCAACGTAATTTTCTCCCATAGGCGTAAGTTCCATAGTTCGCAGCTCATAATTTGATTATTTTTGAAGTTATGTAAGGTCTCGGTAGACCGCATAAATGATTTCTCATGTTTGGTTACTATTGCTCTTATGTAAGGTCGTGCAGACCATAATACTTTTCTTTTTGCTCGCGGTCGAGATGACCCATATGTATTTGCAATTATGCTCTATGCTTATTTGTAATGTGTTGGTAGCTTGTTTTTGCTAGACATCTTCAACAAAGAGTTGTTAGGTCGTGAAGACCATCTCTTTTATCATGTAGTCGCCATGATCATTAAGTTGTGTTGACTACTTTGTTAGGTCGAGATGACCTCTAGCACCTCCATTGTTAAGTCGAGACGAGCGCTTGCCCCTCTTTTGTTAAATCGAGATGACCTCTAGAAAGTCTAGTAAGTCGAGATGAGCTTCTAGCTCTTGCTCTGTCAAGTCTAGATGAGCTATTGCTCATTTCTTGTTAAGTCGAGACGACCTCTAGCAAGTCTAGTAGGTCGAGATGAACTTCTAGCTCTTCTCCTGTCAAGTTTAGATGAGCTCTTGCTCCACCCTTGTTAAATCGAGACGACCTCTAGCAAGTCTAGTAGGTCGAGATGAGCTTCTAGCTCTTCTTCTGTCAAGTCTAGATGAGCTCTTGCTCATTTCTTGTTAAGTCGAGATGACCTCTAGCAAGTCTAGTAGGTCGAGATGAGCTTCTAGCTCTTCTTCTGTCAAGTCTAGATGAGCTCTTGCTCATTTCTTGTTAAGTCGAGACGACCTCTAGCACCTCCATTGTCAAGTCGAGACGAGCTCTTGCTCCTCTCTTGTTAAATCGAAACGACCTCTAGCAAGTCTAGTAGGTCGAGATGAGCTTCTAGCTCATGTTAGTTCCCTTTTGCAATCAATTCTCCCATTATGCCTTTTATCCTCAATACTATCCTCGCATAACCCAGCTTGCGGGCTGTTCGAAGTTGGAGACCACCCAGCTCTTCAAATGCCTTAATCATGGTGGATTTTGATTTCAAACACTTGCCCAACCCAAGTCTAGGATTGTTCAAAACAAGTGACCACCCAGCTTTTCAAAAGCCTTAATCATGGTGGATTTTGATTTTAAACACTTGCCCAACCCAAGTCTAGGCTTGTTTAAAACAAGTGACCACCCAACTTTTCAAAAGCCTTAATCATGGTGGGTTTTGATTTCAAACACTTGCCCAACCCAAGTCTAGGATTGTTCAAAACAAGTGACCACCCAGCTTTTCAAAAGCCTTAGTCATGGTGGAGTTTTGATTTCAAACACTTGCCCAACCCAAGTCTAGGATTGTTCAAAACAAGTGACCACCCAGCCTTTCAAAAGCCTTGGTCATGGTGGAGTTTGATTTCAAACACTTGCTCAACCCAAGTCTAGGATTGTTCAAAACAAGTGACCACCCAGCTTTTCAAAAGCCTTAATCATGGTGGGTTTTGAGATGATCGACTTCGTAGTCGTCTTCAACTTCGTAGCTATTTTAGAAACTTAAAAGTCAATTCTCTCTTGTAGACTTAGACTCCCTTGGATTTAGAGCTAGGCCTCTCTAGCCATGATTGCATATGTCTCACTTAGTTGTATATAAGTCGCGAAAGTCGTTCTTCCACCTTACTGAAGGTCTCTAAGTCGTCCATAGTGATCTCCACTCGTCATGAGTGCCTCTAGATCGTCCAGAGTGATTCCAACTCGTCATGAGTGTCCCCAGATCGTCCAGAGAGATCCCAACTCGTCATGAGTGTCTCTAGGTAGTCCAGAATGACCCCAACTCGTCATGAATGTCTCCAGGTAGTCCAGAATGACCCCAACTCGTCATGAGTGTCTCCAGGTAGTCCAGAATGACCCCAACTCGTCATGAGTGTCTCCAGATAGTCCAGAATGACCTCAACTCGTCATGAGTGTCTCCAGGTAGTCTAGAATGACCTCAACTCGTCATGAGTGTCTCCAGGTAGTCTAGAATGACCCCAACTCGTCATGGGTATCTCTAATTAGTGATTTCTTCATATTACTTTGCCCTTCACTAAGTGTCATTAGTGAGGGTCTATTGCTCTGCGTCTAAGCAAATAACTGGCTCTTCCCCCCCAAGGGAGAAGGTAGCTCCTCTTCCATACGCGCTCATGACGGCGCGTGAGAATCAAACGGTGGCAACCCTTTTACCGATATTAAAAACTCAAGGTTGAGAACCACCAGAGGTTTCCTTCCTCTTCATATCCCCCACAACTCCTCACTCAAATTCCTCTAAACACTTCCCTTCTCAAACATCTCAGACAGATCAGAACTAGGTGCAAAGCTCTTAGTTCCTTCAAGAACTCCCCACAGACGGCGCCAAATGATGGGTCTACTTCCAGATCTGGAGTAAACCGGTTGTTGTGAGCTCCGATCTGTTTGAACCGCCTTCAAATTGTTGCTAGACCGCCGCAAACACCTGCAAGAACCCAACGCCGGGAGAGGTCCCGGCGTCGGGCCTCCGACGCTCAAGTCAGTAAACAGAGGAGAGGAAGATGAAGCTCTATGATGTAGAGCTGTGATGCATGTAGAAATGCATAGAATGTGGGGGAGAGAGCTGCTCTCAGAGAGCAGCAGCAGCAGAGAGATGAAAGTGTATAGAATGAGTAGAGGTTAGGGTTTAGGGTTACCTCAGCCCCTTTATATAGAGGGAACTACTTGCTTGAAGTACCCAAAATGCCCCGGTCGGTTTACCTGAAGTGTCCAAAATGCCCTGGTAGGTTTGCATTCCATCTACCTCCTAGTCAGCTCAAGATTCCTTCTCATCCAATTACTGCCTCTCTCTTGTAGTCACAGAGAAGTCTAGTAGCGGAGACCTCTAGTCACGGAGACGTCTAGTAGCGAAGACGTCTAGTAGAGAAGACGTCTAGTAGCAGAGAGGTCTAGTAGCGGAGACCTCTAGTCACGAAGACGTCTAGTGGAGAAGACGTCTAGTAGCGGAGAGGGCTAGTAGCAGAGACCTCTAGTCACGGAGACGTCTAGTAGAGAAGACGTCTACTAGCGGAGAGGTCTAGTAGCAGAGACCTCTAGTCACGGAGACGCCTAGTAGCGAAGACGTCTAGTAGCGGAGATGAGCTCTAGCTCCTCTTGTCCAGTCGAGACGAGATGATCTCTAGCAGGTCGAGACGATATGACCTCTCGCAAGTCTAGCAGGTCGAGACGAGTACCAAGTCGAGACGAGTCTAGCAAGTCGAGATGACCTCTGGAAAGTCTAGCAGGTCGAGATGAGTCTAGCAAGTCGAGATGAGTAGCAAGTCGAGATGACCTCTAGAAGGTCTAGCAGGTCGAGATGACCTCTGGCAAGCCTAGCAGGTCTAGCAGGTAGAGATGCTTCTAGCAAGTCTACTTCTAGAGCATGTCTACTTCCCATACTTAGTCGTGGAACTTCGCATACTCAATTACAAAGAACATGTCTACTTCCCACACTTAGTCGTGTGGAGCTTCTCATACTCAGTCACCGAGAGCATGTCTACTTTCCATACTTAGTCGTGTGGAGCTTCTCATGTTGCTCTTCCTCGGTTTCGCTCGGACTTCTTCATACTCGACTCTGGTTCACAAGTATGGCTATATCAGTTGCTATTTCTCGAAGACTAGAAACGGCTTGCTTGTTACAAAAGCCGTTACTGATAGCAACGGAACGGAATCCGTCTCTGAGCATCAGAACCCTTGTTTTCACTAACCAATAATGAAACGGATTTTTTTTGTTCCTATTATTCATTAGCAACGGAAAATGAACTTTAACCAACGAAATTTTTTGTTCTTGATGATTCATATTCTAGTAGTGAATAAAATAATTAAAATTGATTTGACGTAAAAGTAGGAGAGAATGATTGAAGTGATGGTTAGTTAATATAATGTGAGTGGATGAATAGTGAATTAAGGTTGATGTGGTGTGTATGAATGATTGATTGATATTATTTAATTATATCTCTCTTATCTATATATGAAGAAGTGAGTGGGCTTAAAATACTGACAAGTGTCCACTTATGGGCTCTTTAAATCTCGACACGTGTCCCATTTTATTTACAATGTTGCCACTCAATATGTTAAATGACCCATTTATTAATCTTTTTTTTTTTATTGCTTTGTGGTTGCTTATCGAAAAATCTGCATCTTGCGTAAGCTGCCGCTGTCATGACATAAAGCTGATTAGTCAGATTTGATCTCCATGAATCCCGGTTGACCGCGCCGAAAGTGTATTGGTTTCTACATGTTATTGGCTCTTATTTTGGGTGAATTAAGATAAGCCATATCTCATTTTCTCTCTGTTCGATCTTTTTTTATTTCGTGTAGGCCAAAGTAGTGGTCGGACTCTCGGTGGTTCGGCGATGGAGCAGCGCTCCAAGATGGTCTGACTTCTTCGCCCCGATATCCGGTGACCATTAGCCCAATTTTAATAACCTAGGGTTCAACAACGTCGAATGGAAGGCTCCGGTTCATTATCTCCGGCCATTCTCGGTGGTTCGATGACTGATTTATTATTTTAGTTTCGATTCTAGATTATTGAATTTCATGTGGCCGGTCTTCAGTCAGTCAGTGTGCACCAAGCAAGTAAGCAAGCAAGCCAGTGAATTTATCCTCGGGTGAATAGAGTAAGATAGTGAAGTGATCCTAGCTCAATGCTTTCCTATCTGGTCCGAGCCGGGTTGTTATCCTTCCTCTCTTTCTCAGGTGGTTGCATACTCTTTGTTGAGGAGCGAAAGCCACTCGACCAACGTCCGGGGAGCGAAAAGGGTATTTCCTCGATGGGACGAAAGAAGCAAAGAGCCTCCTCATAGCACTACTTATCAGAGATAGAGTTATTGAGCTGGAGCAATAAGAGATGAAAGAGTTTACTTTACGTTGAATACAGGAACTAGTACACTTAGCATAGATGGAATGAACTATCAGAGAAGAGAAGTGTTTATGCCATTTAAGAAGTCACTCGAGCGAGGAAGTCCTTTGCCAGTTCAGTTGGTTCAAACTAGGTGGTCAAGTAGCTTCCTACAAAAAGGGAGTAAATAGTAAGTAGGAATGTCTGGTTGTCCTGTCACGCTCTCCTTATCTTATTCCTAAATGTTATTAGGCGTGGAATTTCGAACACTAAAAGTAGTGGTGTAGTTGGTTGGGAAGTAGCTTCTCAAAAGCTAGAATCAAGAGCTATAGCTAAACTAGGCAATTCTACTAATCCTACACCAAGGCTTCTGGCCGATCTGGTCTCACTGGAGAGTTTTGACTTCGAGGGAGGCGCAATGAAAGAGTCAGAGTGGAACCAACGGCCCCGGTAGAAGTGAAAGTCTGTCTGTTCGCTCCTGTTCATTCATAGCGGGATCTGAGTCTCGTCGCGTTAAAGATTATTTCCTAGTGGGACTTGGCTCAATTCCCGCGCAGCAGTTTACGGCCCTAGCAACGAGCTGCCTATAGAATGATTTGTATTCTTAAGGTTTCTTAAGGTAGCAAGGTGAAATCTTCATGAGGCCATAAAATCGTTCGACCGGGGTATCATAGATCGTAGATGCGAGGCACGCAAACTCCCATCGTGTCCCAGATCACATTCCGTGAATCGAAAGGGGAAGCCTATCTCAATTACATCGATCCGGGAGTTACGGCCTAAAGATCTACGCATTCCCCCAGCACAATTGTTTGAAATGCCGGGGATGCTAGATTGGCAGGAAGGGGGTCCTATCCGAGTGTGGATGCAGAGCTGGCTGCGTCTGGTGCACTGGTATGCTGCTGTTGCGCTTTCACCAGATGTCACCATACAGGTCGGTCCTCCTTATGGAGGCGCCAGTCGTCATGACCAACTGGAACTGTGAGCGCAAAGATGAAGTGAAGAAAGTTCTGAATAGAAGGGATAAGAAGTACGGGAAAGGGTTCATTCTTTGACTCCAATAGTTCAAGTAGTAATGCCAATAGACCAGTGTTTTGTATATGAAGTGGAGATTGGAGAAAAAAAACCTCAGAAAACTTATGATGTAAATATGGATTCTAACCCAACTGGAGCTGTTGCTAGCACATCTGACGTACACGAGCTTCCCATGGAAATGAATGAGATGAAAATTAGAGAGGATAAAACTGATGACCATGAGGATACAACTAAGGTCTTTTTTTTTCTGTTGGTTTTATATTTCAGTTGATTACGGTTAGTTTGCACTCAAGGGAGAATTATCTGGTAAAATATCGTACTGAAATTGTGAGTATGGTCGTGACTTCTATTCGTGGCCGAAATGGACAGCCAAAATAGGTGATTGTTTTTGGTTGTTCTAATGTTTCTAAACTGTTGATTTATCTTTGATGGGTTTTGTTGTCTTTTTTGTTATTCTGATTATGGATTTAAAAAATGCTTCGAACTCATTGGAGTGTTTATAAAAAAAAAATTCCCTTTACTCCTTTCAAAGTGATTGTAAGCTCTAATTACACGTTAGCTATGTTTATATCTTTAAAGCACCAAACTTCTTCTGCTCGAATATTTTTTGGAAACTGTTTATCGTATGTCAAGGCATTATACTCGAGTGAACCAATACATGCACGTTATATATGTGCAGCTTTATACCTACCAGGTATGTATTTTTTTTCTTCTTTTGTTGCGTGTTCTAACATTTTGGTGTCTGATATTATTACTTATAACAAACCATTGCTTAATTCATTTTTCTTGTTACTTGAAACTTCAGATATTCCGAGCTTTGAATTATATGCTTAGAGTTATTGGCATTTTTCATCGGGACACTAAACTCTGGAATCTTCTGGTATGGTTGTTGTTTTATTTTGATGAATTAAGCTTTCATTTCCTCTGTTGCATTTGCCATTGTACTTGATTGTTAATTTTCTGAATTATCTAAATATGAATTTGAAAGTATTAGTGTGTTTTTGAAAAAAAGATTAAGGATCTACTTTTTAATTCTCTAGATATGCAATCTTTTCATAATTCTTTCTAAATATTCTAACGTGGGTTTCCCCCAAAATTTCAATAATTGTTATGCTCAAAAGTTTGGGATTGAGCTGTGATATTTGGAAATGCCGATGGACTTACCATCATGGCTAAGTACATTTTTAATTTATCCACCATGTATTAAAGAAGAGTTTGTTTTCACTATTATTATATTGGTACTCCTTGTTTAAGTAAAAAACAAAAATATTGTAGAATTTCAAGATTGAATTGTTGTTTTATTTCTATTGAATGTTCGAACATTGTGTTCGCATTCACGGTTTTCTCATAAAGATGAGTCTTCTGTGCTGTCAATTTCTTTTGTTCTTTTTTTTTTTTTACAATTTTTCTCAATTTTCTAAATTGAGATGAATGACCAAAAAGAAGATCACAATTTGATTTTAAGAGGCTACTCAAAAAGCAGCCCAAGTGATTGATTGGTATCGACATTCTCATCCGCTCCGCCTATGTATTAATTCGCTTAAGGGATCACCACTCACCATCGATGTATGGACGGTGGTTGCCGATGGACGCAATGGTTCGTTTGCTTCAAGTGTTTTAAAGTTACACTATTAAAAAAATTATTTGATCTTTTAAAGACAATATATATTTTGCCTTTTGTTATATATTATTTCTGTGAAAAAAGATTTGAAAAATTAGATTTTTTTTTTTTGTGGCCTATATAGCATGGATGATAAAACAACTTGAGGATTGATGCTTGATCACCAGCTATTATCTCGAGAAGATTAAGAATTTCCAATATCAACTTTAGATATATTTTAATCGTAGTACTTCTTTCATACATTTTATGATAGTAAAATAAAACTTAGAATGTCCTACCTAATTCGTTGTATAACTTGAAATATGTAGCCTTCATCCATGCACATGTATTTACTTCTTTGTATACTTTTAAATGTATTCATAAAAGCAAGTTTACTTTTTCTTAATTGTCACATGCACTCTTACTGCATCTCATGTACCTTGGTTCCCATTCTTGGTTTTTATGTCAACAGTGGATATGGTCGCTTCAAATTTAGCCCCCATCAGCGTCAACTTCTTAACACAGGCTGCAAAAGTAATTTTTGCTATTGTGATGCTTATATTTCAGGTATAATTTCCATATCCTGTTAGTACTATATGGAAGTCTGTTTGTTTTTGGATCTTCGTAAGTAATATAGACAAAAAGAGTAAGTAAGGCAGAGGTTCTTTCTTATTCTTAGATTGCTTAAATAAAGTGAGGAAGTCAACCCACACAAATGGGACTATCACTTTTTCTTGTGCTACAGACTGAATACTATCAACTTTAGTTCATTTGATCATGGAACATTTTCTTCTGTAAAACTTCTTCAGGTTGTCAAATTCGTAGGAGGAGATCCCTAATTGAGAGTCTTACTGATTCTATTTTGGAATTGCAATGGGGACAATACACATGTAACCTCTTTTTTCTTTTACCACAAATTTACAATCTCCATGCAGTTATTTGAGACCAAACGCAAGCGCTTTGACTAATAGGTTGGTCCTACATGGTACTTGGAAATTATTTGCTATTGTAACTTCAACATTATTATATCTAAATGCACCAGTAAAACTTACCTGAGAGGATTTTTTGTCATGAATTGGGTCAAGTATTCTACACTTGCATTCTTATATATTTGTTAGAATTTTGAGTACCACTTAGGACTCCGTTGCTTTATTATTATTTTTTATAGATTGACATTTTTTTCCAAGGACAATCCCAAGATTAAGATCTTGGAGCTTTATTTTTCTCTTTGTGGTGGCACTACGACATATACATTTCACTATCAAATACAAGAAAGTGAAAATTTTTCAAAGCCTATAAGCAGTTCTATATATGTTAGCCGGCATAAGAACTTACTGTGGGTACTCTCATATACATCCGTAATCCATATCATATATATGTACCTTGGCAGCTGGCTCTTTTCTTGCAGGCTAGACGACGGAAGGTTGGTGAAAAGACACTTCTCTCATTTCCCACGTTTATTCAGGTTCATGAAATTGTTGATCAGGCATTTGAAATTCTTTTTCTTTTTCATATCTTCACCTTTATTTTAGGAGAAGCGATTTATGATTTTGATGCCTTAAAATTAATTCGATTTTCTTCTGCAATTGCGGCATTGCCTTCATCTTTATTTTTATGTTTCAGGTTTTCCCTTTTCTATAATTATTTTGTCTTTTAACTATTTTACCCCTTGGTTTCTTTATTCAGCAATGCAAAAAATTACATATTTTGATCCTAAGGGTTTTTTGTTTATTCCGTCAGTGATTGAGGAGATGTCGACAGTGGCCAGATTCTTCAACCAAAGGGACCAGACATTGCTCAAGCTTTGAACTTGTGTCCGTGGGTAACCCTTTCTGTTGTGGCAAGGAGACTACAAGTACAATTTGTAATCTTCTGAATACGTGTATTATTAGTGAGTTTTGGTAAGTTTATCAATAATTTTGAGCTTGTTTATTTCATCCACTGGTAACGTGAGCTCACACTCTTAGGGACACATTTTAAGCTTCTCCCCTTCTTGTCCTTTCGAAAATATTTGGCTAAGGTACTGTGCTCTTATGTATAATTCAAATTTTTAGTTAGTTTTAAGGTACGAGTACATATAATTTTTACAGTTTCTTAGCTATGAATGAAAGAGCTAGAATAATTATGAATGCTTTGGTTCTAACTGTTAGATGAAGAATTATTGTCAATATTTGGATTATTTATAATTTATGATGAAGTTAATTGATTTTTAAGAGCAATTATATTTTGATGCCATGAGAGTTTTGAAAATTGTATTGCAGTATGCATCATAACCAGTAATGCATTTTTTTTGTTATTAGAATTAGGAATCTCTGAAATTGGAATCACACAAAATACGATCAGATTAAAAATCTAGATGAAAATAGCAATTGAAACTGCTATCACAGATCGATACCAAGCAATTAATAAAGTTATTGGGATTGATACCGAGCAATTTATTGGTCGTGTGGAGATTTTTTAAGCTTAGTCCCTATTTTAATTTCCAATTAGTTTATACATTTTTTGGTTGAACATACTAATTGACTAATTTTATAGATTTATAGCGTACAAAATTTTTATTTAAATTTCAACTAAATTGGAAGTGGCTGCGCGTGCGCAGCCGTAAACCAACTAGTTAATAATATAGATGATAGTGGAGTTGAGTTAAAAAAATAATTGAGTTAAAATTTTGAATTTTTTTTGAAAACTTTTCATAAACAAACGTGCTCTTAGTTTTCTTTCCTACATAAATGAAGGGTATTACTATTTACCGCCCCCCTTATTACTATGTACCGCCCTCTTTGGACATTTTTGCCCCTGCCATTTTTTTCCAAAANATTAAAGTTTAGCAAAACAAAAAAAACCATTCAACTTAAAAATAAAAAAAAAATACCATTGATGCGATTTTCGATTGCTCTGTAACACGAACGAGCCTGTCTCTACAATCCAAAAAAAACCATTCACCCGATTGATCCAAATATATTTTTACTATTTTCTTTAAATATATTTAATTATAAGAAATAAATATATTTTATGATTCATATAATTAATGTCTACACCAAACGATTGTATATTAAGATTATAAATTATATATCTAAAGATGAAATAATAATTTTTACTTCGTGCGCGGAATGTGTTTGGGTATCTGTGAAAAGAATTTTCAGCACAACAATAAAACTTTACAGTTTCTTTTATACTATTTTGTATATGCACGTGTATTAATAGATAACCACAATGTGTAGATAATATATTTTGTTATGATCTTATCCCCTGTATAATATTTATATTCAATAAGGGATATTGAATTTAAATTTAAACTTCGAAATTTTACATCTTTTATATGCGATTATTTATTCTGCCCGATTTTATGGCAATCGAATTGCAAGGAATTTTGAAATTTAAATTATCAATTAAATATTGCATATGATTTTCATTTGCAATTAGTTTTTTTGAATATATATAAATGGAGAAGATATAAAGTTTGTTACTATGCTGATTTTTTAATATGACCGATTTTTAATACTTAATTATATAAAATAAGATATGATATATAATCTAAAAATTGTTGCAATTAGTATATTTATATTTAATTTTGAGGTAGTTTATTTATATAAAAAGACTCTAATACTATTTTTCCTAATTAAAAATATTCATTCGATTTTATGCCAACAAAAAATTAAGAAATTGTAGAATTTTAGTTTTAAATTCGAAATGAGAGTTGATTTACAATGCAATGGTTTTTTTTTTTTACAATGCAATTGGTTTTTTTCGAATAAAAAATGAGTCAACTTTTGCATGTTTATCCACTCATGTAAATTAGATGCACAAAAACAGAGACCATTTAAGGTCAACCGATTTTTTGGGGAATGAATTAAAACGTAAAATAAAAAAAATAGCTAAAAATAGTATGCAATTAATATGAGTTGACTTTTTCTTATTACTATTTATGGTAAATGTTAATTTTTATTATATATATATATATAAAGATTGATATACGATAAATTATATCACATGTTAACCCCACATCTTTAATTTATAATATTGTTTGCTTTTTTAAAAGAGAATCAATAGTAATTCCCCACTTATTTCATTAGATGACTCGAACTCGAGATCTACTTTATAATCATTAGCTACACACTAGTTCAAAATTCATCTAACGTATAAACACTAAGAGTGTGATTGTTTATAAATCCAACTAGTTTTTATTTAGTTTGGTTTTAATTATAGTTAATTTTGAAAAAATGTGGTATGGTTAGTTGTTAGTGGATATATTAAATTAATATTTAAATAAAATAATTAAAGTTGATTTGATGTAAAGTAGGAGAAAAATGATTGGAAGTGATGGTTAGTTAAAATTATGTGAGTGGATGAATAGTGAATTAAAGTTGATGTGATGTGTAAGAATGATTGGTTATATTATTTAATTGTATTGATAAAATTGATGATAGTGGGGTTGAGTTAAAATTGAGTTAAATTTGAGTTTTGATTAATTTTTTTTTTTATTGTTGAAACAATATCCAATCAATATCCAATCGCCCCTAAATTTTGAACCAAATTTCCAAGACTAGTACTATAGCCCATTAAAAACAACCATCTCACATGTACATATTCTCCCTCCCATAGTAATGTTCGCGCGATCATGGCGAAACTCACGTTCAAACCTTCTCTTTCCCCTTCCCCTCCAAATTAAACGTACCTCCTCTTACTCTCCACCCGCCGCCGCCGCTCGACCGGAATCTTTCATCTCCTTGTGCGCCCAAGGCCGACTGAAGGAAGCCATCGCCGTCCATTTCCCTTTCATCCAATCAAAACCGCTCCTCGTCTCCCACCTCCTCAAAGCATGCGTCGCCTGCTGCTCCCTCCCGATGGCCCTCCAGGTCCACTCCGTCGCCATCGCCGCCGGCTGGTCAAACATCAAGTTCATCTCCAACCACCTGGTCATCGCTTACACCAAACTAGGCAGCTTCGAGACCGCTCTCAAGGTGTTCGATAAAATGCCCCAGAAAAACGTCATGTCCTGCAACATCATAATCGGCGGCCACATACAAAACGGCGAGTTGGGCCCTGCCATGGCGGTCTTTGAAGAAATGGGCCCTAAAAATTCTGCCACGTGGAATGCCGTAATCTCAGGCATGATCAAGTTCGAGCAAAACGAAGAGGGCCTGAGATTGTTCCACGAAATGCATGAAAATGGGATCTCTCCTGATGCATACACATTGTCAAGCGTGCAGAGAGGATGTGCGGGCTTGAAGGATTTAGCAAAAGGAAAGCAAGTTCACGGTTATACAGTCAAATCAGGTTTGGGGTTTGATTTAGTGGTCATTAACTCCACTGCTCACATGTACATGAGGTGTGGTTGTTTACAGGAAGGTGAGTTAGTGATTGAATTAATGCCGTCACGTAACTTGGTTGCTTTTAACACGCTTATTGCTGGGCGGGTCCAGAATGGGTTCCCTTCTGGCGCATTGGATGCCTACTTGGACATGAGGAGATCGGGCCTCCGGCCCGATAAAATCACTTTTGCAAGCTTGATCACTTCATGTTCGGATTTGTCAACTCTCTGTCAAGGACAGCAGATTCACTCAGAGGTGGTAAAAGCTGGGGTTACTTCAGTTGCTGCTGTTAATAGTTCCTTGATTAGCATGTATTCACATTGTGGCTGCTTGGATGAGGCTGTTAGAGTATTCGGGGAAAAAGGGGCTGGCGAAAAAGATCATGTTTTGTGGAGCTCGATGATTTCTGCTTACGGGTTCCACGGGAAAGGAAAAGAGGCAATCGGGATTTTCAAAGAGATGGAAATCGACGGCATAGAAGCCAATGAGGTGACTTTCTTGAGCCTGCTCTATGCTTGCAGTCACTGCGGGTTGAAAGACGAGGGTTTCGAATTTCTTGATAAAATGGTGAACGAGTACGGATTGAAACCTGACGCAAAACACTACACGTGTTTAGTCGATCTCTTGGGAAGATTGGGTCGATTGGAGGAGGCAGAGGGCCTCGTAAGGTCCATGCCAGTCGAGGTCGATGCAATTACGTGGAAAACTTTGCTGTCCGCCTGTAAAGTGCATAAAAATGCTGACATGGCGGGAAGAATAACCGAGGAGATTATGAAAATTGACCCTCGCGATTCGGCTTCTTATGTCCTCCTGTCGAACGCGCAAGCTTCTGCTAGAAGATGGCAGGATGTGTTAGAGGTTAGGAGAAAGATGAAAGGCGTAATGGTGAAGAAAGAGGTCGGGATAAGCTGGGTCGAGTTGAAAAACGAGATTCACGAATTTTCGGTGGGCGATAAATCACATCCAATGTGTGAAGAGATCGAGTCGTGCTTGAATGATCTGATGGCCGAGATTCGAGCACGAGGGTACGTGCCGAATTTAGGTGCTTCGCTGCATGATATGGATTTGGAGGAGAACGAGTATAATTTGGCGCACCACAGTGAAAAATTGGCGCTTGCTTTTGCTCTAATGAGCATGCCGAGTGGTGTTACGA